CATTTGAGCAGTGGTTGATTTCTTTTGGCTGTTCTGGGTTTTCACAGGCTTCAGGTTTGATTGCCCTTTCCTGCCTTCTAGAAAGTTCTGGAATATAAGAGTGGAGGAAAGCAAATGGGCACCATGAATTTTACAGTGCTGCAGCCAATCCCTGGATAGGTGCACCCAGAAGGTGGCTGATGAGCACATAAATAGTCTGTAGAACAGAATTGCCTTCCTGTCCAAGGGATTCCACCTGTTCAGATGGGGGTAGCTATCTCCCACCTTTAGCCATTCTGCTGCTTCAAGTTGCTGTTCACTGAGGTTACAGTAGTGGCAGAGCAGGGAGGCTTACATCTGAAAGGGCATAGTACACCTGAAGACTACACCTAAGGATTCAGTCCACATAGTTTCACTGGAAGACACCTGGATAAAAACTGTGTGCGAGTAGCTGCTTCTCTGGCCTCATAAGTACTGTTTTGTTACAAGATCCTAGTGTCTGTGTATTATTGGGATTACTGGGCCTTGTAGTTCCTCTCCTGAGATGTGCATACTGACCAATCCCATTTAGTTTAGTGTAAAAACTTTACACTAAGTTGTGCTAAGTAGTTTGTCTCCTGAGAGGTTCATATGTTAGTCTCCTCCAGTTTATTGTGGGTGGACTGTCCTTTTAAAGCTGTGTCAAGTAGTTCCCCTTCTGAGGAGTACATACATCTGAGCCTCTTCTAGTCTTTTAAAGTCTACAATGTAGAGAAGAGTGTCCTCTTGTTTCTGTTAACGGCTCTGGAGTATCCCGGATCACCCTACACCCCATCCATGTTATTCAGCAATAAAATCACAAAAAGACATGCCCTAGACTGCTCTTTGTGTCAGTGCCTAGACTGTGCTCTGTATGTGCTGGCAGCCTCTTCATCAGTGGAGGAGAACTTTGGTCATTGTCATTATCTGTGCGGTAGAACTCTGGTCATTGTCATTATCGGTGCGGTAGAACTCTGGTCATTGTCATTATCTGTGCGGTAGCACTCTGGTCATTATTATCTGTGCGGTAGAACTCTGGTCATTGACATTATATGTGCTGCCAGTATTGCACCAACTTTTTAGAAATGGTGTAAGAATAGTATGCATAGTAAAGTCTCCTGCCATCATCAGCTTCGCTGAGGTGGATGTTTCTTCTAAGGAAGTAGGATAAACCATCCTTTAAGTCCCAAACAACAAAACTCCAGATCATTATGACTTTCCAGCTGAATTAAATAAGACATACTTGAATGCACTCACCCCTATACACACAACTTTTTCAGTAATGCCACACAGATGAGACCCTCCTAGATAGATGCTAGGATTAGATTAGTTAGATTTAGTGCTGACTCACTGTGTTCAGTGGAGCTGTGTGTATTTTTTTATCAGGTAAGTTTAGCATGCCTTGCTATAATCAGTGTGGCTGCAATTGATTAGTTACAGTAGGTCTGTTCAGTGTTCTCAGCTGCTGCTACTCTGTTAGCTCCCTCTGCTTTTCAGGAAGCTGTGAGAACTTTCTGGATCATAGGTGTGGAGTTATGCAGATGGCAGTAAGAATATTTATACAGCCCTGGACAATCCCAGGGATTCAGGCCATGAAGGATGCTGGGTAACTGTATATATTCACTGAGAACACTGAGCTCTGGGTCTTTTTCTATAGGAAAGGTACACAGCCTAAGGGGGGTGCTTGCTCTCCTGAGATATCCTGCTATGTGCTTGCTGTTCGAGAGGCCTCAGGTGGGCGACCCAAGGGCCTGGATGCTGAAGCTACTGAGAGCTGACTGAAAGGCTGTCTGCTGAAGATCTAGTCTGGTAACACTGGAAGAAAGTGTCACTTGGAAATTGGAAAGAGGCAACTGGTTGTCCCTGAACATTTTGTGGGTACAGACTGCTGGAAGATCTTAGATAATTTTGAGGCTGCTGCCACCCCACCCCTCTTGTGCTAGAGAGCCAGCTGTGTGTGTTTACTCTAAAAAGAAGCCTTTTACTTACTGTGTTACTACAAGCAAAGTCCACAGTTTGCTATATGCAGGGACTTCTGCTTTATCCTTACAGAAAGGAGTTCACTGTCCTCAATTTGTACATAGTTACTGCTTTTGAAGTAGCCCACACAATTCCCTCATCCCTATCCAAGTTCTCGAGAAAATAAAAACAACATTCCTAGAATTGTTTTTGAGGATACGAGTGACTGGGTCATTCATTGGGGAAGAACCTGGACAAAATTCCAGCGGCTCCTATGGGAGGAAGTGTTACATATGTATGAGGTAAATACTATATACTTCTAGTACCTACAACAGAAAAGAACCCCCTCATCATCCTCACATAGGCCTATCTCCTACTGAATAATGACTTAACAATCCTTACAAAAATACTGGCATTCAGAGGGTCCTGCATCTCAGACACCATTACTTATATTGAGCAGACAGGGTTTGGGGTTAAAACATTCACAGATAGTCCTGGTTGCTTTTAACAGAGAAAAAAAGCATTCAACTCAGATGACTGGGGCTTTATGTGTGCAATGTAGAACACGTTTGGCTCCAGCCAACAGTTTCTTTGGCATATCCATCCTTTCTTTAGAACCCTTCAGACCTCACTTAAGATTAATGGAGAAATCTCCCATCTGCTATTTGCAAGGGCACCAAGCAGGGTATGGGCATCCTCTCTAACCAGCTCTATTAATATCAATGATTGGACCTATTACCTCTGTGCTTTCAGCTTCTCTACATGTTCAGAACTCGAGGGTGGGAAAAAAAAGTTATATATTATATGTGGACAACCTAATTCTTATTTTGGGAGACCTAGGCTCCTCCTTATGAGAAGGCCTCGAAGTTCATTGCAGGCAGTCACAAATTCTCTCCCCAGACCATGGGGTTAAGAACCACACTTACCCAGGCTTACCCCTTTAGTGGGCACCTGCATTCACTATCTGAGGATACCAGATACAAGCTCAATTCATACTTATGAAACCCTCAGCTTAACCCCCCATACCCTTAGCTCTAGATAACTGTAAAGGAATCAGTGGCTGATTGACTCCCTTTCTACCTCAGCACCTTCATGTGTGTTTTTGTTAACCTCATTCCCCTTATTCTGCCTGCATTGCAGCTAACTGTTGACAATATATGGTAATCATTTTACAGTTGGATCCACTGATCCTCTACCCTGTTACCCCCCTACCCTTCCTGCACTTCCTTCCTCCTCATATACCCCTCCCCCGTCCATTGCATCTCTCATCTCCTTCCTCCCTCACAATCCCTCTTCTCTCCTCATTCCCTTCCTCTAACCGTAGTTCCTCTCCTCCTTTTTTTTCTCCCTCCAATTCCCCTCTTCATTTTCTTTTCTCTTTCCCAAGTGGTAAATCATGTATATCTTTGCTATATGGTATTGGTCTTATCCTACAATTGTTGGCTATACATACCGGACGTGATGTCACTAGGCTCCACCCATGTGTTACGTCACTGGTCACGTGGCGTCCTCAGGGTAACCCGGATGAAGTCACGTGACCAGTGATGTAATGCATGGGTGGAGCCTAGTGACACCACTTCCTGCATTGCACAAACCAGGAAGTGTGGTGAGAGGAACCATTTTTGTCATTGGAATTACATGCCTTCACTGTTTTGCACATTGTGAGTGGATTTTAATAGCTTAATAAAGGAAATATTTTTATGGGGTTGCACTATGATTTGTGCCTTTTCCCCTAAGCATTTACCATCCCAGTGGGAAGCTGAAAACCGGTCTCTGAAAGGGCCAGTAGCAAGAATATATAATATATGTGTCAAGGAAAAAGGTGAGTGCATGGCACACTCATTGGTGATGGGAAGCACTTCTGTATATGTTGGATGAAGTGAACACTTTACAACACTGTTGTGGAGCACGGTGTGTTGTGCTGTAATGTGAGTGTATACTGTAGGTTTTGTGCACTCAACCATTAGTTTTAATTCAAATGGTGTTGCACTACGATATTTATTATTGTTTTGTATATACACGTTTTTTGGAGTCATGATTGAGTGAAGAAATGTTGGATTCATCGCCACATGCAAGGATATACTTCTGTAAAAATGCATTTGACCTATTATAATTTGTAGTTCAAACTTAAAGGTGAGCAGGGAGAGTATATTGAGCACAAGCACGTCTTCTGGAAAGTGATTGTTAAACGCACTAATATGGACATTCTGTGATTTGGGAATTGGATTTTTATTGGAGTGTGGATTTATCTTGCATGGGATTACTGGAGGATTATTTTATTTCGTTTATATGTCTGGATGAGGAGTTAACGCACTACACATTCTTGGTTTATAAACTTTTTAAGTGAGAATACACTTAGTGAATAGGTGCAGAAATCTTCCTTTGTTTATTTTTATTCAGGGTGTAGCAGAGCAGGAGTGTGAGCCGTTTCAAAAGGCATGGTAAGCTGGGCACTGCCATAAGGGATATGTACTACTGCCAAAATTAACAATAAATAAATATGTAAATATGTAAACAGTAACTCAAAGAACTGTCAACTTTCCCTAACAGCTCTGTTAGACCTCTTTCACATGGGGTAAGACTTTACAGACCACTCTGAAAACTGATCAATGGTGAATCACTTTCAGAGACAGTTGAGCAGTGTTTTTCAGGTGTTCAAGAGGTGATACTGCCACCTCCAGAAAATCTGTTTTTGTTTTCCAATCCCAAGGCAGATTTTACATTGAAATAACACACTACAATCATGTGTCAAGCATTTGGACAGCAGTTTTTTTTTTTTTTGCATGATTCCGTTGTACTTCACCACTTGCCAAATGCAGCATGCTGTCTTAAAACTGCTGCAAATCACAAATATAAGCATCATGGCTAAAACAATGTGTATTGACCTGAGAGGTCATCATTTTAATTTGCACGTAGGAGGCAGGGGGTTCTAGAAAATGGATCAGCCATCTTTTTGTTTTTTTTTCTGAATTGCAGCCACATATTCATACCGCTTATAACTGTATGATCTTTGTTTGTCCACATGTAAGTATTTGGCCTTACCCAGACAATAAAATAAATTAGAGAAGGATCTTTTGATGAATTCCAAGAATAAGCAATACCTACAGTCATGGCCGAAATTGTTGGCACCCTTGATATTTTTCCTGAAAATCAAGTATTTCACACAAAAAAGGTATTGCATTAACACATGTTTTGCTATACACATGTTTATTCCCTTTGTATGTATTGGAACAAATATAAAAGGCAGAAAAGCAAATATGACATAATGTCACACAAAACCCCAAAAATGGGCTGGACAAAAGTATTGGCACCCTTAACTTAATATTTGGTTGCACACCCTTTGGAAAACATAACTGAAATCAGTCGCTTCCTATAACCATCAATAAGCTTCTGACACCTCTCACCCGAATTTTGGACCACTCTTCCTTTGCAAACAGCTCCAGGTCTCTCTTATTGGAAGGACACCTTTTCCCAACAGCAATTTTAAGATCTCTCCACAGGTGTTCAATGGGATTTAGATCTGGGCTCATTGCTGGCCACTTCAGAACTCTCCAGCGCTTCTTTGCCATCCATTCTGAGTGCTTTTTGACGTATGTTTGGGGTCATTGTCCTGCTGGAAGACCCAGGATCTTGGACGCAAACCCAGCTTTCTGACACTGGGCCCTACAGTGCGACCCAAAATCCTTTGGTAATCCTCAGATTTCATGATGCCTTGCACACAGTCAAGGCACCCAGTGCCAGAGGCAGCAAAACAACCCCAAAACATCATTGAACCTCCACCATATTTTACCGTAGGTACTGTGTTTTGTTCTTTGTAGGCCTCATTCCGTTTTCGGTAAACAGTAGAATGATGTGCTTTACCGAAAAGCTCTATCTTGGTCTCATCTGTCCACAAGACGTTTTCCCAGAAGGCTTTTGGCTTACTCAAGTACATTTTGGCAAACTGTAGTCTTGCTTTTTTATGTCTCTGTGTCAGCAGTGGGGTCCTCCTGGGTCTCCTGCCATAGCGTTTCATTTCATTTAAATGTCGACGGATAGTTCGCGCTGACACTGATGCTCCCTGAGCCTGCAGGACAGCTTGAATGTCTTTGGAACATGTTTGGGGCTGCTTATCCACCATCCGGACTATTCTGCGTTGCAATCTTTCATCAATTTTCCTCATCCGTCCACGACCAGGGAGATTAGCTACAGTGCCATGGGTTGCAAACTTCTTGATAATGTTGCGCACTGTGGACAAAGGCAAATCTAGTTCTCTGGAGATGGACTTGTAACCTTGAGATTGTTGATATTTTGCCACAATTTTGGTTCTCAGGTCCTCAGACAGTTCTCGTCTCCTCTTTCTGTTGTCCATGCTTAGTGTGGCACAGACAGACACACAATGCAAAGGTTAAGTGAACGTCTCTCCTTTTTATCTGCTTTCAGGTGTGATTTCTATATTGCCCACACCTGTTACTTGCCCCAGGTGAGTTTACAGAAGCATCACATGCTTGTAACATTCTTATTTATCCGCAGTTGTGAAAGGGTGCCAATACTTTTGTCCAGCCCATTTTTGGAGGTTTGTGTGACATTATGTCGAATTTGCTTTCTTTCCTCCCTTTTTTTGTTTTGTCCCAATACACACAAAGGGAATAAACATGTGTATAGCAAAACATGTGTTAATGCAATACGTTTCGTGAGAAATACATGATTTCCTGGAGAAATATCAAGGGTGCCAACAATTTCGGCCATGACTGTATATTACCCAAAACATAAATAGAATATAAATCTTTCAATCAATTATTCCCCTACATTTTGCCCAGATATTGGAGATGTAAACAAGAACACGATTCCTATAGTACAGTGGTCGGCAAGCCGCGGCTCGCGAGCCACATGCGGCTCTTTACAAACTTAAATGCGGCTCTTCTGTGTGCCGGGCGCCCGCTCCCCTCCCTCCTCTCGGGCAGCCGCCCCAAAAGTCAGGACTCTGCAGCTGTCAGGATGTAGGCGGGGCAGCCAGGATGTAGGTGGGGCAGCGTGACAAACTCCTCTCCTCTCACAGTCCGCCCTGAAGACCAGAACGGCACGGGAACACGGCAAGAAGAACGCGCGGAGCAAAGGTAAGTGAATTGACACAATATGGGGAATGAATTACTATAGGGGGGATGAATTACTATGGGGGGTGAATTACTATATGGGGGATGAATTACTATGGGGGATGAATTACTATATGGGGGATGAATTACTATGGGGGATGAATTACTATATGGGGGATGAATTACTATATGGGGAATGAATTACTATAGGGGGATGAATTACTATAGGGGGGATGAATTACTATATGGGGGATGAATTACTATGGGGGATGAATTACTATGGGGGATGAATTACTATGGGGGATGAATTACTATATGGGGGATGAATTACTATGGGGGATGAATTACTATATGGGGAATGAATTACTATATGGGGGATGAATTAATATATGGGGGATGAATTAATATGGGGAATGAATTACTATAGGGGGGATGAATTACTATATGGGGGATGAATTACTATATGGGGGATGAATTACAATATGGGGGATGAATTAATATGGGGAATGAATTACTATAGGGGGGATGAATTACTATAGGGGGGATGAATTACTATGGGGGATGAATTACTATATGGGGGATGAATTACTATGGGGGATGAATTACTATATGGGGGATGAATTACTATAGGGGGGATGAATTACTATATGGGGGATGAATTACTATAGGGGGGATGAATTACTATATGGGGGATGAATTACTATAGGGGGGATGAATTACTATATGGGGGATGAATTACTATATGGGGGATAAAATAAATTTCAATCGTGGTTTTGGCGAGATTTGGCTCAGTTGAAAAAAAAGGTTGCCCACCACTGCTATAGTATGTCCACATTTGGTTTTACCTTACTAGGATTCCTCCATTTAAAAAAAAAAGTTTTTCTTTTAAAAGCTGAAACTCGGAAAAATACAAATGCTACACATTCTAAAGGCTCCAAGTGATATTAAAGCTTATTTTTTTTTCTAAATAACAAACATGTCTTACTTCCCTGCTCTGTGCATTGGTTTTACCCAGAGCCGTCTGTTCTTCTTGGGTCCCCTGCCGGCACTCATGGCTCCTCCCTCTTGACCAGCACCCCCAGTGGCAAACCTTTTGCTATGGGGACACTGATGCATGCTAGCTCCCAAGCCTATGCAGTTCCTGTGCACCACGCTGGTTAAAGAGTGGGCTCGAGTGAGTATTAGGGGCTGTGGGGGAGAAGCACACAGAAGGCTTTTTACCTTCATGCATAGAATGCATGCAAGTAAAAAAAAAACCCTTTAGCTCTCACAACCACTTTAAGGATTTTTACCCTAATGCAGGGGCGGACTGACCATTTGGAAACTCAGGCACTGCCCGAGGGCCCGGGTCAGTAGGGGGCCCCATGAGATGCCCCTGGTACCTTTTTCATAGGCTTTTTTGAGTTTGGGCAAGGACACAGGGGCCCTATGATCCCCTATTGCCCGGGGGCCCCATGAGTTGTCAGTCCACCCCTGCCCTAATGCATTGTCTGCATTAAGGTAAAAACCCTCAATTAAATTCTATGAAGAGTGAGCAGGAGGCAGGGCTGAATACAGGCAGTGGGGCTCAAGAGCAAGCCTGCACGAGTGTCTCCATAGGAACTGGCTTCTGATGAGAGCACTTAATGAATAGGAGAAGTCAGGAGCACCAGCTGGAACCCCAGATAAGGAGAATTAGGGCTGCTCTGTGCAAAACCATTGCACAGTGCAGAAAAGTATGACTTCTATATTATTTTAAATAAATAAAAAAAAGATTTACAATCACTTTAAAGTGGTTATAAATCCTAAACATTTTTATCTTGTTGCATTCCTTGCATTAAGGTAAACAATGTTTAGGTAGTAATATCCCCAATCATCCTCCCTGTACTCACCTGAGCCCCCATTCCATCCAGCGCTGTGCCCATCTGCTCTCTTCTCTCACTTCCTGGTCTTCCTGCTGCTTTTCTGAGGCAGTGGGAGCCATTGGCACCCGCTGCTGTCAATCAAAGCCAGTGATGAGGGAGCAAAGGGGCGGGGCTGAGCCTGTGTTTATAGACACAGGCAGCACAGCTTGAGAGTGAACCCTCACCAGTGCCACCATAGGAAGCAGTTTTCTATGGAGGCACTCGCCAGAGAGGAAGAACACAAAGAGCCGGTGGCGGATCTGAGAAGAGGTTGATCCAGGCCGCCCTGTACAATTCCATTGCAAAGAGTAGGTAAGTATTAAACCTGATTGTTTATTTAAAAAAAAGCCTTTTGCATTTACAAACACTTTATTTTATTTATTTATTTTTATTATTACAGGTACCTAAATAGCGCTGCCAATTTACGCAGTGCTTTACATATATATTGTACATTCACATCAGTCCCTAACCCTCAAGGGGCGTACAATCTAAGGTCCCTAACTTACATTCATACATACACATACTAGGGCCAATTTAGACAGGATCCAATTAGCCTACCTGCATGTCTTTGGAGTGCAGCTCTATATTTATTATTATTGATTCAGGGTATGAGCTTCTGAATAATGATTTATATTGTTTTTAAACAACAAAAACATATAAGCATGTAAAAAAGAAAGGAAAGAAAAAAAATTATAGAGACAAAGGGAGCAGCCCATGATACCTTCTTGACATCAGACACAGAAAAGTTCCATTGTATGTTAATCCATAAATCATATAAAGAAATAATAAAAAAAAAAAATGGAAATACTGTTGTGTATCTATGACTCTATAGTTATGTAATTGCATAATCTTACTGTATAGATTACTTACAAACCATAACATCAGGAGACCTTTCCCGAAGAAATTTACAAGGCATACATCTACAAAAATAAATAAAAGGAATCCTTTGAATATCCACTACAAAAATCTGTATTTTTTTTTTTCCTTTTTTATTTACAACCTATCTTTTTGGGTATGCCTTCCTTAATATATAGCAAACTGCAAATGAACATGATATCATATTGCATTTTTCTTACAACCATATCTTTGTGCTTCTTAATGGTCACCATATGAAATGATATAAACACGACAATACATCTTCAAAAATATGCACATAGAAAAACTTCTCTATGCTTTTATTTTTTCGCTGTTTTTGATTACTATCCGAAAATCAGGAGTGTGCTCACTCCACAGTATGGAAAGCTACTTCCCTGTTTTTTTTTTTAAAGTTAACATCTCAGTTGATGTATGAGATACCATCGTGCCTTTGACACCTTTTTATCAACTGCTATGTGTATTTTGAACAGACATGGTCTATAAGGCTGTAACTATTTATTTACCGCTATTATGGATTTGACCCGTGCAGTATTATGGTGACCATACTCAGGGGTTCAGCTAGGCTTTCAACCAAGATTCATACAATTTTAACCCAAAATTTACACATTTTTCCAATTGAATCAATTTGGAAAAACATGTGACTCTTGGGTGAAAGGTGTGTAAATCTTGGGTGAAATTTGTTTTTTAAATTAACCTGTTAGTGGTCTCTATATTTTGTAGTAAACATATTAAACTAAATCAAAATGTTGAAATTAAAACCTTAAGTGTGGTTTAACACTTAATTCTGCATTTTTTAAATAGGTCTATTAGTTTAGACCAAAATAGCAAATAACTGAGGTGAAATTAGGGATACAGAGATTTGGGTCCAAACGAGGGTCTACGCCTGGTAGCTATGGAAGCATATTACGTCAAATTGCAAGCACCAAGTTGTTATACATTAGGCAGGGGAAGATCAAGTAACCTCCAAATATGAAAATTGATCTTAATGTCTGTCTGTTTGTATGTTGGAAGTAGAGGGGACTGTATAACCAAGGGCAAAGATTGGAGGTCAAAGTGTCTTATTGGAAAACAGCACACATTTACTTGAATATTCAATATATGCAAAACATTCCTTAGACCTGTAGTTATATTTTAAATTGACATTATGCCATTGCTTAATCAATTAGATTAATGGCCTGTGGCAGCTAAGATACGTGACCAAACACATAAACCCTAATTATTTCCTTCTTACTCCCTTTGAAGATAGTGGTTGCCTCTGACCTTTATGTTTATGCGCAATCATAACTCAAGCTTTGGAATGTTCATATAGGTTAACTAGTACAGACTACAGTAGCACTGAGCAAACTGTAGATAATCAATCTTTTTTAAACAAATAATTAATGATCAGTGCATTCTTTTGCCTTAACATAATTTATGGCAGTGAGTCTATGGGAACAGCAACTCTGATATATAAACAGAAAAAGTAGTGATTTTCAATATTATGAGATTTGTCGGAAGCTGGAGAGAACAGAAGCATGAAGTGAGCACAACAGTGTCTTAAAGAATAAGTGCACCTTCAAAGTGCACTTATCCTGTTTGCCCCTTTAAGCTGACCTAACCAATCCTACCCTCACCCTCCATAGATGTATACTTACTGAGATCCAGTGACCACAAACTCCTCTGTTTGCTTTTATACAGTGGTGAAAGTCTTTCTCCTGGCATTGCCTGTGCAGTACAGCCCTCTAGATGTCTACATGGCCTGTCTACCTCTAACTATTGGTGAGGACACAGCCTCAAAATAGTCCAAAGGATTGTACTGTGCAGTCGTTTCTAGGAGAGGGAAACTTTGACCGCTGAATGTAAATAACCCCTGGAGACCATGATCACGAACTTGGTAAGTATTCATCTGTAGAGGAGGAGGGTGGATCAGTTAGGTAAGCCTAAAGGGGCAAACAGTATAAGTGCATTTTGTCTAAATGTAATATATGTGCTTATACAAATTATTATTCCAACATACAAAAAAAAAGTAAATAACAAATGGATATCACATATGCACATGTATGTTGGAATATTAATTTGTATGACATATGCACATATGGTGCTGTTAATAATGTTATTAGAGTTTTAATTGACCTTATTTATGTAAACCTTAATTTATTTATTATATGCTACTTTTTCAATAAATCTTATGTGTTCTATATTAGGTTGTAGGCATGTAGCACCCTCCTAGATCGGTGCTAGGATGTACATAGTTCAGTTGGCATAGTTTTATTTCTCTGCACAACAGGGGGACTAATAGGCTAAATATAATTCTAGCATTTTGCTAAACAGTGATGCAATCTACTAGTTAGGGCTGCTCATGATTCTCTGATGCTGTTCAGTTTGTCTGAGCTCCACCTGCCTTCTAGAGACCACTAGGAATTTCTGGAACATAGGTGTGAGCTTGGCAAATGAACAGAATGAATGTGAATACAGCTCTGGCCAATTACAGGGAGGGTGACCCCCAGTGCATGCTGGGAGCTAGTATTTATATTCTGGGAGTAAATAAACTCTGTGTCCATTCCAAAGTGGATTGCACAAAACCAGGTTTGAGGCAGCTGCCTCCCTTGGCATCTGCTTCCAGCCAGGCCTCAGTTGGGTGACCTGAGGGCCTGAAACTGGAATTGACAAGCGGCCCTGTTTCTCCTAAAGCTGACTGAGGAGGAATCCGCTGAGGGTCTGGTAACACCAACAGAAATGCTGCCAGTTGCTCTACAGAAGCCTTGTGAATACAGACATTGTAGGATCTCAGGGACCTGGTGCTGTTAACCCCTTTCTGCTGCTAAGGGCTCTCTAGTCCGCTAAGGTCTCAGCTAAAGGGATCACTGGCCAGTGATCCAAAGAGCTCTGTCTACCTGCCACTTTTCTGCAAGAGACTTTGCTTAGCTTCTCTACTACTACTACACTGCCATTGGAGGAGAAGTCTGCCATCTGCTCCCAGCAAAGGGACTTCACCTAAGGCGGGCTGAAGAGGAAGGCGGAGTGGTGGGTGGATCCCTGGTGTGCGGTCGAGGGCCAGGGCTTGCTGTCAGTGTGCACCAGGCTGTGCGGGATGGGTGAGGCAAGGAGGTGCCAGTGGAGGGCCTGTGTAGGAGGAGAGGAGGTCAGGGTGGGGGATCCTCCTTGCTCTTTGTTGCAGCTGCTGCTGAAGATCCTGGTGGAGATGAGACACAAGCTCTTGTCACCATCTACTGGACAGGAAAAAGCTTGGAGGACTGGTATGTCCCCATTCCTGTCACACTGCCCCCCACTTTTCTCACTGCCCCCCACCTGTTCTGTTGCTCCCATCCTGTCCTGCTGCCCCATTACCCCCCTTCTGTCCCATGGCCCCTCCATCACGTTACCACCCCCCTGTCCTACTGCCCCCCCAACTGTCCCACTGTCACCCTCCTGTCCCTCAGCCCTATCATGCCGTAATACATTTGAACAGAGGGTTTGCTGCTAAAACTTGGGAAAGTGACTTCCCATCTAAGATTATCAGGGGATGTTGGGGTTCCCAACATGTCACCAGAAGGAGAATAAGTGGCAAATGCTTGAAATAAAATGAAAATCCTTTATACTGTCCCCTTTATAACAAAAGGGTGTTCATTTGCTATTTAGCTATTGTATAATACAGCAATAATTAGCAAAAATTAATTGTTTTCCTGAACTTTCGGCCTTGCCAGAAAAGAATTAACAATGGCTAGGGCATTCTTGAGTAAGACTGTTAGCTTG